TAGGGTGAATACATCTCATTACACTGATTTACTGGTAGTCTCGAAACCCTACTCACTTACGAATATAATTATATTTAAATTGTCACTAACAAGATGAGCGGAGTTTGTCTTTCTGTCAGCTTGCGAGAAAGTTGGATGATCTATTGAGCAAGGGTGGGACATCAAAAGAATGTATAAAGAGAAATTAACCCTTTTTGCAGGAGTCTGTTCTATAGAGAATTTTCAGGTCCTCTTTCCAGATCAGGCTGCTACAATCTTTTCTGCTCATGTGGTGAGGTATATTTGGGAACCGCATGTTAAGGTCTATGAGTCCACAAATATGGGCTCGCTGAATACATTTGGCGGGGAATTCACTTTACAAGTTAACAAAATTGAGTAGGAATTATTTGTGGCCATTGGATAGGTTTACGGAGAGGGAGAGAGAGGAAGTGTAGGAATAGCCAGTGATCGAGAGAAGGAGGCACACTTGACGATAGCACATGATTCAACATTTGTGGATCGTTCACTAGTTTATTTGTGTACGGAAGCAGTCGAAGATCTCTTGCTCTGCAACCGGCCAAGTTTTCTTTTAGCTTGGCATAAATTTTGGTCTATTCGGTAGAGTACAGATCCTGCTCTGACGATGTCTGTCATGAGTAGACTAGACGAAAGATGAGCACAAATTATGTCTACTCGTCTGCTTCATTGACAGACTTTCACCTTCTCTATCTGTCACTATCTTGGCGTGATTCCACAACAATTGCATCTTTTTGCCCCATTCACTGTTCCGACTGTCACTTGTCAATTGACTGTTGCCGCCCATACTCTCTTTCGCTACCCCAAACTGAATGATTAATGTCTTTCTGTGCTGGCTTGGCCTCCTTAATCCTGCGACTGGCGGCTGCGGCTCGCTGTTCAGTCTGTCGACTGGTCATTTCGTGCTGCCCGCATGTTATGCCTTCCAGTGACCCGTTTGTCGGCAAACTTTTCTGCAGACAATACGAGTCTGAAGCAGCGCTGCGACGATATGATACTGACTTGAGAATGTGTAGATGTGAGCCTTCTTCCAAATTGCCTCCCTCCTGCCTGCGCCCTGTTGGAGTGGGCTTTCCGCAAACTCGGTGACTGTAGACGACTGTGTTTGACACGCCGACCGGATGCCGCGAGGCAGATTTGTCTTTTAAGGCACAACGGGCCACTCACAAACCATAACTTTCA